ATTCCCACTACTTAGCCCCTTTAGCGGGTACTGGCTGCCGTAATAGACAGAATATTAGTCTAAGTCAAATTTGTGAAGTCAGAGCAGCACAACCTTCTGCTGTAATACTGTTGTTATTCAGTCTGCAGAGAAAAAGAGAGAGTGAGCGTGAAAACAAAAAACAAAAAGACTGGAAACATTCTTCAGATTATTTCATTCACAACACACAACTAATACCTAAAGAAGGATAAATCTATATGATGGCTAAACTAATCTTAGTCCTCTAAAAAAGAATCACAATGCCAGTATTTAGAAAATGAAATATCAAACAATATTATACGTTAAGGGTATTTTATAAAGTATTAAACCATGTGAAATACTCACATCAGTGTGTTGAGTTTACAGTGTTTATCCTGCAGTAGAGCAGCGATCTGATTCACTCGTGTGTCTCCTAGTTCACGTTCACTCAGATTCAGCTCTCTCAGGAGTAACGGGTTTTTACTCACAATTCCAGTCACATACTGACAGGCTTCATCTGCAGCAGGACCCAAAAACCTGCAGAAGAGAAGATGAAGCAGGATTCAATTCAACTAATAATGAGGTAATGAAAAACAGCATCTGGTTCAGATGGTAAACAGTGTTAAACTGTCATGAAACACTTTATTACAGAAATACAATTTCTACAAATAATTAACTTGCTACATAATTTATTTTGTATTATTTCATCATGTCTCACCTCAGTGTCGTCAGTTGACAGTCTGGATCCTGTAGTAAATCATCAAGCTCCTTCACTCCTGATTGTCCAGGATCATTTCCTGTGAGATCCAGCTCTATCAGGTGTGAAGGGTTTGATCTCAGAGCTGAAGCCAGAGCTTTATAACCTTCTTCAGTGATACTGCAGTCTGAAAGTCTAGAGGCAAAAAACAACAGGAAGAAAATAAAGTCTCAAATGTTGTTACTCAAGTTTAAATTTTTCAGATTACAATATTTATAATTCTCAGCTTTCCAAAAATGTGCAATATTTAAGAAATGTTTCAAGACAGATGCATACTAACTTGTTTACGTACAAAAGTGATATTGCTGACAGAAATTTTCAGTTCATGTTTAAATTCACCAAAACCTAACCTAAGTATCTGCAGTGTGCACTGAGAGTTTCCCAGTAGAGTGGAGATTTCAGTCACTCCTGAGTTTTTTAGTTTATTTCCACTCAGATCCAGCTCGATCAGGTTTGAAGGATTTGAATTAAATGCCTGAATTGCAACACAAACTAATATGGCAGCGCCCATCATGCATTATAAATCAACTAACAAGATCATTATAAAGGTTTGTAAACGACAAAACACATACTTGAGAATTAGAATATCAGATAATTGGTATAGTTAACAAGTTTGTGAATATTTTGAAAAAAAAAGGAAAAACTAAATAGAACTGATCTGAAAATCTGTCGTACAGCACTACACTGCAAAAATGGCTTATCTTACTTAGTATTTTTGTCTTGTTTCTAGTCAAAATATCTACAAATTCTTAAATCAAGATACTTTTACTAGATAAAAGTAAAAGTCTCTAGTAAATATCTAGTAAAAGTATCTTGATTTAAGAATTTTTAGATATTTTGACTAGAAACAAGACAAAATACTAAGTAAGATAATCCATTTTTGCAGTGTACTGTGGCTATAGTGTGTCACGTGACAAACAATGCGTCGCCATGGATATAATAAGGTGATGTTGGAGGGTCAGCTAGAATATTTTAAACTTGTGTGAAAGGGTTAACAGTAAAGGTCTCATCACACTACATTCATCACAAACTGTGCTACAGTGATATGTGAGTAACATTTACTGTATGTGCACTATTTTTAAGAAAATCAAGTTTAAACTTTGAGAGTAAAAATAATTATTAATAAAAACTGTAAGATAAAACCTTAAAACACATACTTAACATTATTTCATAAAACATTTGAGGAAACAAACAAAAACAAACTAAAGGTTACGATACACAAGGCAACTTTTTGAGAAATATTGCTGGGCAATGATGCTATCAACGGGCAACCACACACAGGGCCCACGACTGATCTAATTATCCAGACAGAAGTTTGTTGCCCATTCTCAATGGGAAAGTGCCCAAACAACATTGCTCAAAAAGTTGCCCTGTGTATAATCACGTTAATACAAAAACTATATTATTATTAAAATTAAGTATTCATTCATTGAACTCACCTGAGTTTCTGCAAAGTGCAGTTTGTATTTTCTAATCCGTTCTGGAGTTTCTTCACTCCTGAATCCTGCAGATTATTGTTGCTCATGTCAAGTTCTTTCAGACTGGAGTTTGATCTCAGGACTGTAGCAAGAGCTGAACAGCTTTCCTCTGTTAGACCACACTTACGCAGACTATAATATTAAACATGAGAGAGAGAATTTACAAACACAAAGTGCATGCATGCTAACATTTAGTGACTACTGAGAATTACTGTGTTTTGGTCACCTGATTTCTATAACATACTGTATATCTACAATAATAAATGAACACAATACTCACGTCAGTGTGTTGAGTTTACAGTGTTTATCCTGCAGTAGAGCAGAGATCTGATTCACTCGTGTGTCTCCTAGTTTACGTTCACTCAGATTCAGATCTCTCAGGAGTAACGGGTTTTTAATGTGAAGAAATTCAGTCAGATATTTACAGGCTTCTTCTGCATCAGGACTTTGTAACAACCTGGACACAGAAAATGTACAGACATTACCTGCTATACAGTGATTTATTTTCACAAGCTTGTGAAAAGCCTTTAGTCATTTTATAGCTCTTACAATTGTCTTTTTAACAGTTTAATTTATTTAATTAGAAACTTTAAGACTATTATTTTAAGAACACTCACCGCAGTGTCTTCAGTGAGTAGTATTGATCCTGTAGTAAATCATTGAGCTGCTTCACTCCTGATTGTCCAGGATCATTTCCTGTGAGATCCAGCTCTATCAGGTGTGAAGGGTTTGATTTCAGAGCTGAAGCCAGAGCTAGATAACCTTCTTCAGTGATACTGCAGTCTGAAAGTCTACAGAAAATAAATCCAAGAATTACAATGAACTGTGGTTAAAATTATTTAATTAGTGGACAAATCACAAAATATGACTACATTACACTACAGCTGAATAAATGACCAAATATGCAGATAAACGGATAACAGATATGCAGGAACACAACTTTTAGTTTTATTCTGTCATCATTTATTATGTGAGTGAGGTGATTAATCAGCTATTACCTGATTAATTTGAACTTAAACTGATGCCAATGTAAAGAAAATGTAAACATAAAAAATGTAAAGAAAAGCTTATATTTAAAACTGCAACACATCTGAAAAATAATTATTCAGACTATGTGCCATTAAAGCTGAGATTCTCCCATTTTCAGTGATATATGACACATGTATGGGAAAATTCTTAAAGTTTTGTAAAACAGGGCCAATATTCACAAAACATTTTATCTTACCACTAAGAGTTCTCCTAAATAGAGAATAGAGAGAAGTCTTAAACTAAGAGTAAGAGTGGGTTGACCTCGTTGCTATGGATGATGTCAGCATCCTTACTATGCACACAGTGATTGGCTGAAAGGGGAGGGGTCTCTGTCAGAGATTTATTCATGGAAATATTAAAGAGTGCAAAATTATGTTGCCGTATTCAAATATTGTATTGTTTTAATGGTAACTGTGGAGCCTGTGGGTTTCTACTGGTAATTGGTCGCCTTTTATTGGTAGCTTGCTAAAAACCACTAAATCCTAATGGAATATGTCCCAAACCACACTACAGGAGCCCATTTTTTAATGCTTTTAATGGTTAAAAGTTGATGGTTTGTAATGTTTGTAATGGTATTTGTAGTGGAAATCATTAGAATTTCTGTGATGGTTTGTATTGTGTGTTTTTTTTCAGCAGGGAGGATAGTTTGTGATTTGGTCTTAGCGACTTAGGAGTCCTCTTCACTACTCCTGACATTTCACAGATTTAGGAGCTAGTTTTAGCGCTAAAACGCTTTGTGAAATACTCTTAGAGCAAACATTTAGGAGTCCTACATTTAGGATTGACACGCCCATTATTTTTCAGATTTTCTCCTAAATCTGGAAGTTGTGAGCCACTTTTAGCCTTAAGATGTTTTGTGAATATGGGCCCTGGTTTATTTATTATTATGTGCATGCCCAAAAAGCACAAAAAGATTGAAAGGAATGGGGGGAACCACAAGAGTTTGAGTGTAGAAACAATTCCCAAGTCAATTCACTGAAATGATTTGTATAACGTTATTAGCGAAATGAAACAAAAGTAGAAAATGTTATTAATATATAAATTAATATAGAGAATTTATGTAGATCAGGGGTTTTCAAACCTGTCCTTGAGGCCCCGCAACCCTGCACATTTTGTATGTCTTCCTCATCTAACACACCTGATTCAACTCATCAGCTCATTAGAGACTGCTTAGTTGAGAAGACCTGAACTAGGTCTCATAAGGAAGACATACAAAACATGTAGTGCTGGGGGGCCGCCAAGACAGGGTTGACAACCGCTAAAATAGATAATCTAATTCATGTCTTAAAAATGTGTATTAGCTTCCTTTTATTGCTAAGTGATGCTTTAACCACAGACTTGAAAAGTTAAAAGGTGAACGTGTTGGAGCCCATTGCCTCATGTATTGAGCTCTGCTGTTGGGCAGATAAACTAGTTAAAATAATTCAGATTCACAGAAGCAAATGTAGTACTTATGAACTTATGTGTTTGTTATTCAGAAGAAATTCAAGCAGCATAGTAAATGTCAAGACAGTCTGCCTACGTTTTACTGTTACATAGTACTACACTGTATTTTAGATTTACAAATTTAATAGGTGTGCATTAAGATTTATATTACTGAATCATGTGTTATATTACCATTAAATAAAGAAAAGGAGAAAAGGAAAATGTTTACTATGCATCGGAGCATTAAAAGTGGAAGCACATTCGATACGGATTTGCTAAATGTTATTGTTGTCACATTACTTTACTTTATCTGTCACAAATAATGCTTGAAATTTACATTTAATAATTCCTAAATTAAATTTAATTGTCTAATCTGTCTGGCCACTGTTTAATAATCAACCAAAAATATGATTATGAAATATGAATATGATAAGCGAAAAACTGTTTTTTTTTTTATCATTGCTTTGGCAAAGTATCTGTTAAATGAACTAAAACCAAAAGCACACTATGGCTTAATTAGGAATGGGTACCAAAACCCGGTATTAAATCGGCCCTGGTGCTAAATTATAAAAGACCAGAGTATCGATAAGCTCTGACGTTAACGGTTCTGCTATCGGTACTTGGGAAATTAAGAAAATACACATACATTTATTATTGCTATATATACATTATCTTGTAAATTCTATCTCCACTTAGTCGCCAGCTGTTTTTATATGCAATAATATTAGGACATTTGTCTATGATGCATTTTTGCTATTCGTAATTCAGAAGAGAGATCACGCTCACACGAAGGAGCTACAGAGCGCGCAACATGAAAGCCGTTTAACTGTGATGATAGAGGACAGAACTAAACAATCAAACGTCTGCTTACACTTTAGGCCTGTGTCTGTGATATTAAGCCAATTTTATTGTTGATTTAGATGTTGGCTTCCAAGGATTATAAAGTCACTCATTCACTAAAACTGATCTGCAGAAATGGAGCAAGTGCTAAGTAGAAGTTTTGATTATTGGGGCCAGTAAACATATGGAAAAGCTGATTGTTTTTGTTTAATTCAACATATTTGCTGTTTCCTGTAGCCTACATGCATTCTTAGCGCTTGCTGAATGAATTACTTAATCCACCTGTTGCTTTGGTCTTCATCAACAGCCGCTTGCGCCACCTGCTGGTGAGCGACTGACAGCAGCTGGAGATCATGCATCGGTGCTCTACTGCTATTCCTGCAGATCCCGGATGTGCAATGGCGAATTTTCTGCCGAATTTTAACCACTGAATTTGTGGAAGCGAATTTGGAAAGTGAAATAAAATGCACCGAAATTTGCCTGTCGAATATTATACATCGTATTTTTAAACAGATTGAATATTTAGGAAGTGAATTCTGGAAGGTGAATATGAATTATTAAATTTTTAATTATGAAAATATGTGTGAAATATTTTGAATTGAAATATTCACAGCTTAAATAGACAACTATGTTAAATTTCAGGACCTAAAAATGCAACCCCTGGAAATACAAGGAATTAAAATGCAAGCACTGTTAATGCAATGCATTATTTTTTCAATTAGTGCTATTCAACGTGCTTTTTTTCTTTCAAAGACATATGGCATTATTTTTCTTCCATAGAAGCGCTTCTAATCATTGTGTTCTTGTTAGCAATGGTTACCTCCAAAGAAACACTTGTAGCCATCATCGCTTTGCATCAAAATGGCCTCACATGCAAGGAAATTGCTACAAAGAATATTGCACATGAAAGAACCATTTACCGGATCATTAAGGACTTCAAGGAGAGAAGTTCGACTGCAATGAAGAAGCCTTCAGAACGTCCCAGAGTGTCCAGCAAGTGCCAGGACCGTCTCCTCCTGAGGAGTCAGCTGCGGAATCGTGTCACCTCCAGTGCAGAGCTTGCTCAGGAATGGCAGCAGGAGAGCATCAACTTTTGGACAAGGCCTGGTATCAAGAAGGGCAGCAAAGAAGACACTTCTCTCCAAGAAAAACGTCAAGGACAGACTGAAATTCTGCAGGAAGTACAAGGATTGGACAGCAGAAGACTGGTGCAAAGTTATTTTCTCTGATGAAGCTCCCTTCTGACTGTTTGGGACATCTGGAAAATCGATTGTTCGGAGAAGAAAAGGTGAATGCTACCATGAGTCCTGTGTTGTGCCAACAGTGAAGCATCCGGAGCCCAGCCATGTGTGGGGTTGCTTTTCAACCAAGGGAGTGGGCTCTCTCATAATTCTGGCCAAAAACACTGCCATGAATAAAGAATGGTATCAAAACGTCCTGCAAGAGCGACTTCTTCCAAGGATCCATGAGAAATTTGGTGATGAGCCGTGCATTTTCCAGCATGATGGAGCACCATGTCACAAAGCAAGAGTGATAAAGAAGTGGCTTGAAGATCATTACATTGAAATTTTGGATCTGTGGCCAGGCAACTCCGCGGATCTAAATCCTATAGAGAACCTGTGGTCAGTCCTCAAAAGGCGAGTGGACAAGCAGAAGCCCACAAATTGTGATCAACTCTGAGAACTAATAAGGCAAGAATGGATCGTCATCAGTCAGGATTTGGCCCAGAAGCTAATATCCAGCATGCCAGAGCGAATTGCAGAGGTTATGAAGAACAAGGGTCAACACTGTCAATATTGACTCATATTTTTTTGCCAATAAAAGCCTTTAAAACTTATGATATTTATAACTTATGTTTTTCAGTATACCATAGAAATATGTGGAAAAATAATCTACAAATACTGAAGCAGCAAACTTTGCAAAACACAAAATTTATGTCACTGCCAAAACTTTTGGCCATGACTGTTATATACGTATATATATATAAACCTAAAACAAAAAGTACCGATAAGAATACCGTTAAAGTACCGGATTGATAAGCAGTATCAGTAAGAGTAGTAATACCGTTAAAACCTTAACGATACCCATCCTTAGGCTTAATCTTTTCTTCAAGTCTGTTTACGCTGCGTGTTTCAAAGGAAGCGCGCACTTTGTTCAGGCGATCAGCTCGTGATCTGGTGTTTTCCGCATCTCAGAGTCTCGGGACAGTTTTATTATAGGTCTGCATGCAGAGTTCAGTGTTTGTATTCCCTGTGCAATTTGACATAAAATTAACAATACAGTCTTTTTATTATTGCGATATGTTTCTACATTTGTATTGCCAAAATAACTGCATTGCCATGCACAATTAAAACAGTGCAAAATGAAAATAACACAAAACAGCATAACACAATTTAAGAACAAAAGTTTCTATTTCTCTCTTGTGTGGATGCGCTGGGTCTCTTTCTGTCTGTTTTCTTTATGTCTGCACAAAGCCAGAGAAGCGCTATTCATTTGTTTCACTTCACAATAATAATAATAATAAAATCTGTGACGTCATGCACCTAATTTTTTGAGGTTCTACCTAAATGTAAGAATAACAATTATTGTGTATTTAGTGGCGAAAAAATATTATGACAGAATGCAACTGGACGTATGTAAAGTAGCAGAAGAAGAAACTTGTTTTCTCTGATCTATGTTTCAGATGCACGTCATAGTTTAACATCTATTCCTTGAAGTAGATATGGCCGTAAGTTATAAATTTCATAAGAAAAAGTGTAATATTCTCGTGTTAGTTTAATAAGAGCTGATGCTTATTGAGATGTTTAAACCTCAATGTTTGATTCTGAATTCTGGTACGATCTAATGGCTAACATGCTAACAGAGCTGTGCAATCCCTTTTTCATGCAAGCACATTGTTAATCTAAATCAATTGTTTATTTGGGCATTTCAGTGTGTAAGTGAATGTTTATGAACGTGAACGTGTAAATAATATTTTAAAATAGAATCTGTTTGTAGTTTGTGTCTTTTGTGTTTTTCTTAGTTTTACAGTTGTGTCAAGTAAAGTATTCATTGCATACAAAGAAGAACGTGTGACGGAGCTTTATTTCTGTTAGCTATCTGTCAGCACCTTGCTCAGAACAACATTGCCAGGACAGAATACACGGAATGTGGCTTTGTAACCAAGTCCTTCAAAACTTTCTGACTGAAACTCCTATTAGTCTAGAGAAATATGTTATCTTCACCTGTTGCTGTCTGCTCTGTGTGTGGAGCAGCTGCCTGATTGCTGTCTCCAACACCGAGAGCAGACGAAATGACAGAAGCAGCACAATTGGCCAAAATTATGGTGACATTCATTCTTATGTAAACAAACATGTATGTAACAATAAGCATTAGTGAGTTCAGCAAAAAAGTATAATTGTTATGTTTACATATCGTACAAAGCCAATAAAGTATTTAATATGACAGGTCTACTGTTGTTGAGGGTAGCTGCTGGTGAAATGTACTCACTTGAGTATCTTCAGCTCACACACAGGATTCTTCAGTCCCTCACAGATCTCTTTGACTCCTGAGTCCAGCAGACGGCTGTTGTTCAGGTTCATCTCTTTCAGGATGGTTTTGGAGGAGAGAACAGTAGCTAGAACTGAACAGCTTTTCTCTGTCAGCTTACAATTATTCAGCCTGAACACAAAAACAACATTATTTATTACAAATCAGATCAAAAGATTATCATATCTGCTCACACATGCGACTGAGAGATTTAAATAAACAGTGTACATCATGTTCACTCACTTCATTTTCTCTAGTTTGCTATGAGAGTCCATCAAAAGAGCAGAGAGTTTCTCCCCATCCAGGTCTCCTAATTTATCTTCACTCAGATCCAGTTCTTTTAGTACTAATGGGTTTGTACCCAGTACTTCAGTGAGGTGCTCACATGCTTCCTGTGCAGCAGGACTTTTCAAAAACCTACAGGAAGTAGAAAATAACTTAGATTAGATAACCATGTTATAATTTCATGCCTTTCGCAGCTCTCATCCTCCTTATGGGTACAGTGTATTTATGATCATAGTTGGGATAATTGCCTCCAGTTCTCCTGAGAAAATTAAATTATAAAAATCAAATTCATAATCATAAAAAAACATAATTTGTAATTATTCATGTTAATTATGTATATTATTGTTTGTGTCAGAAAACTTGGGTGTCAGACTCATGAAATTCAAATGTGTGTTGGTATTGAATTTCTTTAACTTGAAATTCAGTAAATTCTTTTTCCTGTCATTTTAATTTTGCATGTACACTACAGACACTATGACTGTGGCTTCATTTAAATATCTGAAAGCTTCTATCACCTGATGGTCTTTAATTTACAGCTTTCACCCCGCTGTAAATCAATGAGCCCCTCCACTCCTGATTGTCCAGGATCATTTCCTGTGAGATCCAGCTCTGTCAGGTGTGAGTTTGACTTCAGAGATGAAGTCAGAGTTTTATATCCTTCTTCAGTGATACTGCAGTCTGAAAGTCTATATATAAAAAGTTAAGTACAGCAGCTAATGCCTTAATATCACCTGCTTCATTCAATTTTCTAAATATTACATTAAAAAATGTAAATTGTTTGTAAGAAAAAAATAATAACAAATTTAAGTAACAAAACATTTTTGTCTCCACAATTGTCTAGATTTTTATCATTTGATCTAATCCAATAGACATTTTGTAATTTATTCTGTATCTTTGTGATTTTGTGAACGTAGTTTGCCATTTTGACAAGTTTGTCTTGTTAGTCTAATTCTCCCTGTTTATTTAAACCTTTGTGTTTTCTGTGTTAATTGTCTGGTATTGTCCATTGATGGATATACCGTTGGTGTTCTCAGTTCCTCTCTTGCTGCTTTCTTGTCACCTTGGTTTTTTTTGTGTTTTGTTGATTTTGTTTGTATTATAAAGTTCCCCGGATCAAACAAAAAGCATAAAGATACAGAATAAATTACACATCAATACATTCATATTTACATGCAGAAATGTACATAAATGAAAATACACACTTCAGTTTCTGTAATCTGCATTGTGCATTTTCCAAAAGAGAACAGATTTTCTCAGTTCCTTTGTTTCGTAGTTCATTTCTACTCAGATCCAGCTCTATCAGGTTTGAAGGATTTGAATTAAATGCTGAAGTCAGAGCAACACAACCTTCTGCTGTAATGCTGTTATTATTCAGCCTGCAGAGAAAGAAAAGACAGGAAACAATCTTCAGTTTATCTCAAAACCTTCATTAAGGAACAACGGCAGTCCTAATCCAAGCAAGCTACTAACAATAAAATATGAAATAATATTATATTTTAAATATGTTTTACATTTTATGTATTAAACCATGTACAATACTCACATCAGTGTGTTGAGTTTACAGTGTTTATCCTGCAGTAGAGCAGAGATCTGATTCACTTGTGTGTCTCCTAGTTCACGTTCACTCAGATTCAGCTCTCTCAGGAGTAACGGGTTTTTACCCACAATTCCTGTCACATACTGACAGGCTTCATCTGCAGCAGGACCCAAAAACCTGATGAGGAAATAATGAAAGAATTTATTTGGTGGTAAGCTATCCCTTAGCATTTTTTATCTAAATTATTATTATATATAAACACTAATGACAGCAGCAGCAGCAATATACTGTATTATACAGCTTATTGTATTAAATAAAGACTATTTATAATCTGCATTTTATCTGTAGTATTATTTCATCATGTCTCACCTCAGTGTCTTCAGTTGACAGTTTGTATCCATAATTTGTAATTATTCATGTTAATTATGTATATTATTGTTTGTGTCAGAAAACTTGAGTGTCAGACTCATGAAATTCAAATGTGTGTTGGTATTGAATTTCTTTAACTTGAAATTCAGTAAATTCTTTTTTCCTGTCATTTTAATTTTGCATGTACACTACAGACACTATGACTGTGGCTTCATTTAAATATCTGAAAGCTTCTATCACCTGATGGTCTTTAATTTACAGCTTTCACCCCGCTGTAAATCAATGAGCCCCTCCACTCCTGATTGTCCAGGATCATTTTCTGTGAGATCCAGCTCTATCAGGTGTGAAGCGTTTGATCTCAGAGCTGAAGCCAGAGCTAGATAACCTTCTTCAGTGATACTGCAGTCTGACAGACTAGAACAGGAATGAACATGTAACATTCAGATGATTAATCAGTAATTCAAAAAAAATCCTTGTTCCTTTAACAAATTAATAATAAATAAATAAATAAAAATTAAACAAAACCCATGACTTAATATCAATGCAAACAAAAGGCCCAGAGACCTTTAATATGTTAGACAGCAACTCACCTGATTTTCTCCAGTTTACAATTCTCCTTCAATCCATCAGAGAGAATCTTCACTCCTGAATCCTGCAGATTATTATTGCTCAAATCAAGATCCTTTAAACTGCTGGAGGCTGAACTAAGAACTGAAGCGAGAGCTGAACAGCTTTCCTCAGTCAACTTACACTTACTGAGCCTGAAAAAAAAAGATTCTTAAATTATTGTCATTATATAGTATAAATGTAAAACAAAAGTAAGCATGAACAAAAATATTTAAATGAAGCATTTCTTATATTGTCCATATATCTGAAAGTGACTCATCATTAAGCCTTTAAATGTACAGATATATTAAAACAGCACATTATTTAGTCACATAATTTGTAAGGCCTAATGATGAGCCTCTTTGAGATATATGGATAAAATGAGAAATGCATCATTTAGATATTTTGTTTTACCTTAGTAAATTGTCTTAGTAAATTTACCATAGTAGCTCCAATTCACACTTTACATTCTCCAGTCCAGTGCAGAGCAGTTTCACTCCTGAATCCTGCAGATTATTATTGTTCATGTTCAGCTCTTTTAGAGAGGTATCTGATCCAAGAACTGGAGCTAGAGCTGAACAGCTTTTGTCTGTTAAATTGCAATCATTTAACCTATAAGGGAAATTTAATCATAAAATCTGGTAAATGCATACATTTGGTAAATACAAAAATGTAAATATTTCTACCTAAACATTAAATATATTGTGAGGCTCATTGATCAGTAATTTTAAGACAGTGATATTTGCTACATAAAACAATCTTAAGCATGTTAAAAATGCTAAGGTTTATGGTTGATGTACTGTAGGACTGCAGCTAATATTATTTTGATAATTGATTAATCTATAGGTTGTTTATTTGATCAATTAGGACTAAATCAATACTTATTTCCTGTTTTATATATAAAAAAAACAATCTAATAATGTGCAAACTGGATGCTATGAAAACAAACATGGTGAATGTTTCTAAATAGGCTATGCTATACATTACATGAAAAAAAATGAAACATCATGATCTAAAACAAAACTGCTTGCCCAAAGTTTTAAAGTCACTTAATTAAGAATGATAAAGAAAAACAAAAACACAGACTAAATGTTAACTGGTAACAATTACATTCACTCAAAATAGTAATTATATTTATACCCCATTACAATAGTCTATTTACAGTTCCCTTTCAGTCGGTCACTCTCGACGTCACGTCGGAGGACCGACGAATTGGGATCTCGCTTAGAGAGACCAATCTACTTCGAGTGTAAACTAAACGAGCCAATGCACATTGGCATGCGATTATTGCATCCAGCTGCTGCTGATCACAGCGTGAGTATAAGTAGGCAGCAGATGCAGCGCATATTCAGCTTTTTGTTTCGGAGCCGAGCGGTTCTATCGTTCTTCTCCTGACCTTCTGCAGTAGTGACAAACTACAGTCAAGCACGCTCTTCGGTGGGCTCTCGTGCTGGTGGACGGCGCTTCAGCGGCAGTGGTTTTCCCGTGTCGAGTGGGTTGCACACAACAGGCTGCACTACCCCTGTGTGTGTTGCAGACGGCCATCTCCCCTGTGCGCTTCAGCACATTAAAAGAGCAAATTCCATTCTAAAAGAACTTCACGGGTGGAACGTCTTTTTAAAGACGCGTCTTTTTTTAAAGATGTCATACCATCCGTGCGTTTCTGGATGCGGTCGTTACCTGGTGATGGTCACGATCGCTGCCTCTCGTGCCTGGGCATGAAGCACGCTGAGGTGGCTTTCGTGGATGACTCATGCCCCCATTGCGGTGGCATGACCATTTCGGAGTTGCGGACCAGACTCCGTTACCTGCAAGGAGGCGGAGTGCCCGTGCCACTGCCTAGATCTGGGGTTCCCTCTGGCAGCAGCCGGGGGCGTCCTTTTTCTAGCAGTGGGCGGACTGGTCTGACGGTTACAGTGAGGAATTCCCCTCCGGGGATGCCCGAACCCGCCGGCACTGCGAAACCAGCGGAGCTCTCAGTAGAGCATGATGGACCCTTCTGGGGGGTACCACCTGTTTCTTCCGAGGCTCCCCCCGACGATCGGATGTCGGTTGCAGCATCGGAGGGTGAGCCGGACTTTTCCGGGGATGAAGATCCGTCAGCGCCGGAGATGGACCCGGAAATGATGGCTATGAGTCCCCCAGGTGGAGCGGTGGGTTGCGATGCAATTGTGTCCAAATGCCGCTACCACTTGGCGGGGCAAACCGTTGCTCCCCTCCCGGGCCTGTAGGCACTCGTCGCCCTTGATCGACATTGCCTATACCAGACTGGGGCCATCAGGTAAATCCTGCCCCGGCGTGCAGCTGCTGCCTCCACCCGGCCGCCGGTGGCAGCGCCTAAGCCCGCTCGTCGGCCCCCGCCAGACCTGGTGGTAAGCGAAGGAGCAAAAGGCCCTGAGACGGGCGACCCAGAGATGGAGGGAGTTGCTCTTCGGGAGATGGTGAACGCACCACTCCCTCCCCCGGAGGAGGGCCGGGTGGAGAATCCTTTGTTCCCTTTTTTCTGCCACTGGCCTCGCGGTCAGTGGTACCCAAATTCTCGACAAAAGAGCAATTTCTTCCTTCTCTGGGTCCCCTGAGGGGACGGGGGGCTGTGGACGGTCCAGAGCCGTATCACACTCACCCTCCTCTCTCGCCAGCGAGCAGCAGTGGGCGGATTTGGAGGACGAACCAACGGACTACCCACGCACCCTCTGCTCAAACGCAGGTCAGTGTTGCACACACTCAGACCCCGCCTCGGACCGGCAAAGAGACGCCCGGGCTGGGTCCCTGCATTCTTTCGCACTGCCCCACTGCGGGTACGCCTGTAGTTCCGTTGATGCCACTTGCGCGGCGTCTGGGAGCCTGGCTAGAGCTACCCAGCACGTCTCCATGGCTCCGTCGAACCGTCAGGCTCGGCTATACGATTCAGTTCGCCCGGCGCCCTCCCAAGTTCAGGGGCGTCCACTTTACGTCAGTGAAAGCAGCAGATGCCCCTGTCTTGCGGGCAGAGATCGCAGTCCTACTGGCGAAGGACGCGATAGAGCCGGTCCCTCCAGCCGATATGAGGTCGGGGTTTTACAGCCCTTACCTTATTGTACCCAAGAAAGGCGGTGGGTTGAGACCTATCTTGGACCTGCGCGTCGTGAACCGGGCCCTTCACAGGCTCCCGTTCAAGATGCTCA